GAGGACATTTCTTTTTCAAGAGTGGTGGTTTAGCGAGCACATGGTATATATTGGTACAAGGGGCTCTCAGTCGTCATGAGGGTGATGCTTATTGCATCGTTTGAGGCCATTCGTTCTAAAACTCGTCCCAAAGAGAAGTAAAGTTGGTGGTCAAAGGGAGGTATCAGAAGTCCGTTCATCCCTGTTGCATTAGATACCCATGTTTTTTTGTACTCCGTATCTGTTATCATTTGTGGCCAATCTTGATAATGGCCTCGGTTGGGGAAATGTTGCGCATTTTGAAGAATTGTGCTGATGCAAAGATGGATGTCGAACCACATTTGGGACTGGAATGAACGCCCGTACGAATCAAATTGCAAATTGAACAAAGGAGACAAGATAAATCACAGACTGCCACAAACAATAGAAGGGGCGGCGGCTTCAAAGATGGAACCAGCTGGCCTGGGCTGGAAGGTGGAGGTGGCAGCTCGTTCGTCGGACCTAGCCGCGCGCGGCACGCTCGCTCGGACCCTGCCGCTGCCGCCTGGAAGCCTGGCCCGCGTTGCCCATGCCGTTTCGTCGACCCCTGCTGCACCTGCCGCCTGTGCCACTGTGCACGCTATGGAGTACTCCCTCCATTAAAAAAAACGCAATTCTAGAACATACCGTCATGTCCAGGTTCAAACTCGTTTTTTTTGTGTACGGAGGAAGTAGGTTGCACGCAGCACGCTCGCTGCACCCCAGTTTTTTTTTCTCACCTCTTCGAGTACACGTTATAGGATCTAAACTCACACACTAACTTACACCACCACACGCACGTAAACTCACATATACACCCACTCTAGTGTGCAAGCTAGGGCTTCGTTTGGTTGGCTGGCCGGTTGGGGCTGGGCTGGCCAACGCACTCACACTGGCACTGTGCACATATGAACAGTGTTTTTAGATGTAATAGTATTTTTCTCTCCCAACAATCAATCAAAACAGTATTTTAATTTATTTTTTTAGTTCTGCCGAACAAACTTTAGACTTACACATACACTAACAGACTGCACCCCAGTTGCTCCAGCACGAAGAGAAGGCTACTGTTGTTCTGTCAGAACTCAGAAACGGTCGGCCACCGGTTCTTTCTCTGCCACATGTCGCCAATCCCGTGTGCTTGCCCCTGGAATGTGCCGTAGTATACCCCCTCGGTCAAAAAAAAAAACAAGATAAACTTTTCTGTTTTTAACTGAGTTTATAGAAAAGTATCAACATTTAGAAGAAAAAAACTCAACCTATTCTGCTTAAGACACAAGGAAATCTTCTCGTTTTAGTCGAGAAAATTTTCCAAACCTCTGTTCAATGGCACCATTGCCCATATAAGAACTTCTAACCAATTTTTAGATCTATACTTTGGAGTGGGACAGACAGTAGATTGTTTTTAACCATATGACTTGAGGATTGCTACTAGCGCCGTGTAACTAGCCCGTCTAGAGACCTGCTCTGCCGTTTACTAATATCAACATTTATATCTCTAATTAGGTTTACTATACCATATTTCGTATCATAAATATTAGTATTTTTATATAAATTTAGTTAAATTTAAAATTGTTTGACTCTTCGTAACATGATAATTGTATTCTTTTTAGAACGGGAGGGGTAGAATAGTATAAATATGAAAAGTAGAACAGTAAAATGGGAACATGCAATCCTGATCAATGAATTGATGAGTATATATATAAATATTACCTTGAATATCCTTGAAGGAATTTTAGTGATTCAACCTTGATTTTAATAGTCGATGGTCTTAAAATCAACTTCCTAGTAGCACATGTAGCGCATAAGAAATTCAAAGATTATGAGAACTTTGCGCTATGCAAGTCATGACCAAAAGATTTGCTTTCTCTCATCATCCACATGATAGGGTGTCCAAATCGATCAAGCCAAGTTTGGAATGTATCATTATTATGGAGAATTATATCAAATTAATGTATGTATAGTACAATTTAAATTCAAGGGATGAAAATTTCTCACAAACATGTTTGCCATATCCAGTAAGTTTAATAAAGAGAGGGAAATCCTCTTTATTATCTACATGTGTCTCCATATGAAGGCCATTCTTACGGATATCTCTATAACGTAATAGATCAAATCGGGTACAATAATGAATCCTCTATTATTATTTGTGTATCCATAGTGAGAACAGTGGCTCTGTCAGAATCAACTATCAAAGCATTATGCCAAGTGGTGGTCATAATATTTTCTTCTCTTCTCTTAAGAGTGGAAATATTTCATCTCCATAAGTATGAGAATTTATGGTGTAATATCGACTAGGTACAATTTCTCCTCCATTGGATTGACATGAAACGATACCTTGTCAATCCCGATCTCCCTCCCTCCTTTGTGATTTTGTTCGTTGTCTTCTCCACAAAGCGCTCCTTGGCCTCTTCCCCGCGGTAGAACGTTGATGACGTGTAGTACTCCCTCCATTCCTATTTAAGTGTCACTATAGGATTCGTGCCGGTCAAAACTTTTTAAAGTTTGACTAAGTTTATAGAAAATATTAGCAACATTTATATCTTCAATTAAATTTATTATAAAAAAAACAAAATTCAACGATCTATATAATAATACTAATTATGTACTATAAATATTAACATTATATATATATTTAGTTAAAATTAAATGTGTTTGACTTCTCGGGAAGCGAGAATAACATATAATATGGGACAGAGGGAGTAGTATATACTCCCTCCGTCCTAAATTATCTGTCGTCTTGGGTTTTCGTGCCATAATGGCATGTTCGCTTGAACTTATCAGTCGGCTTATCAGCTAGAATCTATAGTATTTTTCTCTTACAACAAAACAGCTTTAGCTGGCTTATTAGCAGCCGGCTTTAATATCAGCAGGAAATGCATGCAACATTTATATCTCCAAATAAATTTATTATGAAAATAGATTCAATGGTGTATCCAATGATATTAATTGTATATCATAAATATTATTTTTTAATATAAAATTAGTTATAGTTATTTCTCGGAAGAGAGAACGATAATTATTTTGGGACGGGGAGCAGGTAGTGGAGGGAGTAGGCAGTAGAAATGTCCGTCCCAGTTGAGTTTTTCAACCCACGTTCTTACCGGAAAATTCCTGGGACGGTAGAAGAAAACACAACGCTGGCGCATGAACAGCATAGTCGCCCACAGGTCAGGATGAGGATATGGGTTGCCAAACAAAGCCAAACCGGCAAAACCCAAAACGACTTCTGGTCACACAGCACACACAACCTGATAGAAGACCCGTGCCGAGTGATGGGCCGGTGACATGAGACATGACCAGATGACCCGATCTGCCGGCCAACCGTTTCCTACCGGCTCTGAGGTGATTGGGCATCCGCTCGCGTATCTGCTACGACCACTCACTCGATCAGCTGCAACAACAACAAAAAAAACAGGGATGGCAGCGCGTGTCGTTCGTCCATGCCGCTGCAAACTGACGACGCAGATGGCCTGACCCTGACCCGGTGCAGCGCAACGGCAACGGCACTTGGCGACAACTTGCTGCGTTGCATTGGACAGCGGCGGCTAGCTCGACGACTGGCCGGACCTGCGTGGTGGTAGGAGCAGGAGTAGATAGGGAGCTGTCGTAGGGCGTAGGCAGGGTAGACTACACTACACAGGGTGTGGTAGTGGTAGTGGTAGTGGTGTGCTCAATTTCTCAATGCATGCACTTGCGAGATGGACTACTGCTACCACTGATGATCAGGTAAGGTTCGTCGCCGTCACTCCGTTCAAGAAAACAGGCAGTTGGCGTTGGCGTTGGCGTTGCCGTTGCCGTTGCCGTTGCCGTTGCATCGCACGCAACTCCCGGCCCATGACCATCTGTTCTAGTCTAGTCCAGTCCAGTTCAGTCGATGAGCAGAACAACAACTCCGTTCAGACCAAACACAGAAGATGTGTACTACTCCTACTATACGCCGTGCAGAACACATCGGTTGCGAACTTGCAGCGAAAGAACCCTAATCTTTTTTGTCATATTATATGTGAGCTAGGAGTACGTAAGCAAGATGCCTGTTGGCTGTTGATGAGAGACAGAGAGAGAGAGAGCCGGGGGAGGGAGGCCCGGAGGGGATAGGGAATCAAACACAAACAGCAGTCCGGTCGTCCTCTCTGAAGTCTGAAGCCTCAACAGCTAGCGGCCAGAGGCCGTTCGTCGCCGTCCTGCTCCTGCAGCTGCAGCTGCTGCAGGCCGGAGCCCCCACCCGCACGCAGCAACCGAATCGTTCTGCAGAAGTGCAGATGCCACCGCACTGCTCCTCTCTCTCTCTCTCTTTTGACCGGAGAGTATTCTCAAGTCACAAAACAACAAGCCCAGACGGCCAGGCCCCAGCGCAGCGGCCAGCGGAAATGCGGAACACCGCACCGCACCGCTCCCCCTCCCCTCTCTGTACTGATCCACAACCACCACGCACAGGCTGCCACAGGGGCACAGTGACAGTGGGGTGGTGTGGTGACCACCGGCAGCAACGGCGAGGAGCGACCCCCATGAGGAGACAAAGCTGCGGCCTTTGCCCCTGCCGCCGGCTTGTCCGTTTCCCCGGAATAGAAGGTAAACCAGTTAAAATACTGTTTCGACTAATTTGTGATGAAAAAAAACGATTTCAGTTAAAAAAATTCTAAAAATATGAATTATAACAGGGCCGAAGTCTCGAACCCTCCACTCCTCTGCCTCTCTTCCTGCAATCCGAGACGGAGAGCTTCGCGGCCCCGCAAGACCGCCACGGTACCCTCTCCGACACAGTACTGTACAGCACTCCCTCAATCAGATCGTACACACACACAACACCCGTCTCCGCTTTGTCTTCTTCCTCACCCTTCCTCCCGCCTCCGGCCTCCCCTACAAATTGCCTCGCCTATCATCCATCCTTGTCGCCAGCCCACTCCCTGCACAGTTGCACTTGCCACCGTATTATCGACCAACAACTGGCGGTACGACCTTGGCTAGCAACAGCGAGAGGAGAGGAGTCAGGAAAGGGCGGAGGGATGGTTCGTTCCGCTGCTGCCATGGAGGCGGGTCAGGTGCCGGACGGGAGGGCGCTGATGGATGTCGTCACCACCGGCGGCGGTGCCGGCACAGGAGGCGGGCGGGAGCCGGAGGGCCTGCCGTGCCCGCGCTGCGAGTCCGTCAACACCAAGTTCTGCTACTACAACAACTACAACCTCTCCCAGCCGCGCTACTTCTGCAAAACGTGCCGCCGCTACTGGACGCGCGGGGGCGCGCTCCGCAACGTCCCCGTCGGCGGCGGCACGCGCAAGGCCACGCCCGCCGGCCGTCGCAAGCGCGCGGGCACAGCGCCCGCGCCCGTGACCGTGCCCGCGACCGCGTCGCCGCCCTCGGCAGTCGCCCCGCCTCCGCCGCCCGAGCCGGCGCTCCACGGCTCGCTGCTGCGCCCGTACGGCAGCGGCGGCCTGTCGTTCGCCGCGCCGGCTCTGGCGTCGCCGCTCGCCGCCGAGGACCCGGACCGCCGGCTGCTCGACCTCGGCGGCAGCTTCACCTCGCTGATCGCGCCCGGGGTGTCGGACGTCGTCGTCCACTTCTCCGCCGGGTTCCTGCTGGGCGGGCTCGCGCCGGCGGCCCTGCCTCGGGCCGCTCTGCCGCCGCCGCCGCCGCCGCCGCAGCAGCAGCAGCCGACGGTGTCCCAGGCGTTGCCGGAGGGCGTGTTGTGGAGCATGGGCTGGCCTGACCTGTCCATCTAAGAGCTCCATCTCCCTCCGCCGGCGCGCGCGCAGTGCATCGTCCGCCATCGGTGGCCAGCGAATGACTGCTGCTGCATCATCGCTAATCTAGCCTTCTTCTCTCCATTAACAGTAGACTGTAGTGTTGCATCCAGGTGATCTTTTTGGGAGCCAAGTCGTTTAGGGATCAGGAAAGAAAGTTGTAGTTCAGTCAGGAAGGAACTGTGAGAGAGTGATCTGCTCAGGAACTCCTAATGTATGTCTCATGTCTTTTCTTGGTATATCGATGCTGGATTCGTTTAATTTTCACCGAACACGATCAAAAGCCGTCTCCTTTTGGTTGCTTTGCGCCTGTTTGTTCCTTTCCCGTGTGAGAAACTGAGAAACCTCTGGGGCACCAATCTTCAGAACAATCTGTTTCTGAACAGGAGGTAGAACCTGATACGGGACACATGGTGATTGACATTTCAAACGGACTCGAATTTTGTTTTTCTAAGAGAAATGCTCCAGAGAAAAATGTACTGCCGTTTTCCCAGGAGTAAAGCAGTTCTATATTTCACCAGATGCAAAAAGAAGAAGAAGAAAAAACTAAGTATCATTAAATTAATCCTACGCCATGTTCGTTTGGCTTATAAGTTGTACTTTTTCAGCTATTCTTCTTTTATAACAAATCAGCAACAATGCTTTCAGCCATAGCTTATCAGCCAAACGAACAGAGCATTGAAATATATTTGCCTAGGACACCAATTTGAGTCATAAATATTATTAATAATATTCTCTATGAACTTACTAACTAAAATTATAGAACTTTGACTCAAATCAAAACCGGAGTTTTACCTCCTTCATGACGCTTGAACTTATCAGCTTAGGTTATTAGCTATGATATAGTTTTTTCTCATAATAAATTATTGAACAGTATTTTTCAGTCTAGCTACCTAAGCATTGATGCACAGCAGCTGATGGCAGGGCAAGAGTCAAGACTACTGTATCTCAAAATAATAAAAAGGGACAAGCTACTGTAGTTCGTTTTGGATCACGTGTAGCGGACACGTTTAAACTGTGTAGGAGACTACAGTACGTAGTATGTATGTATGCTGAATTGCTGGTAGATAGAAACAGTATTGTGAAGTTGTGAGTACCAACTTTGCTTTGTGTTCAGTTCAGAAATAAGGGGTGTTTGATTTCTCCTTCTAAACTTTAGTCGCTGTCCCATCGGATGTTTGGATACATGCATGAAGTATTAAATATAGACTAATTATGAAACTAATTATACAGTTTGCGACTAATTTGCGAGACGAATCTTTTAAGCCTAACTAGTCCATGATTTGATAATGTGGTGCTACAGAAACATGTGTTAATGACGGATTAATTAGGCTTAATAAATTCGTCTCGTGGATTACTGACGGATTCTGTAATTTGTTTTTTTTATTAGTATCCGAATACCCCATGCGACACCCTTATGTGAAACCTCCTAAATTTTAGTCACCGGATCCAAACACCCCCTCAGTCTTCTTTCTCTTTTCTCACACACTAGTATGCATAACAGTATGGCTCAGTTTGTGCCCTTAAATCCGGCTTGATCCGCTTATTTTTTCATCCGGAACAGTGTTTTTCTCTCACAAATTCCTCTAGCATTCCTCCAAACCATCCAGATTCCTCCAATTCAGACAAGCGAAGAGGCCCTAAATCACTTTCTTGTCTTTATATAAAAAAAATCACCCTCTTGATGGTAAGCTATACGTATGGTTAACTAGGCATGGCACTTCACTTTATCAGCACGATTCGCAAAGCATGCATGCGTTAGGGGGGCCATGATTCCGGGGTTAGTGGAGGTAACGGGGTACTTAATTGGGGATTAATGGAGTTTAAGGGTTAGTTAATTGAAGTGTAGCCGGCAAATATCCTCTCCTAGACAAACTAGAGGAAGCAACGAAAGCCAAAACAACCGGACGTTTGACATAGCCCATAGACCTTGAAACTCCGAACCCCGAAGTCTGACGCCCCATATCTTCTTTTAGTGTATCACATTGCAATTCTTTTGTTGTTGTATTCGAGATGGGTATGGGTAGGATAAATTTGCAACTTCCACACAAGTTCATATGCTCATTTGGTAGGGCTCATCTTGTGGAGCCGCTTATCCAGTGAAGCTAAAGTTATTTTATAAAATGTTTGACAAAAACGGCTTCTGCGGCAATCTTGTAACAAATTTACGTTAGGTTTGTGAGAAGTTGAAAAAAGTTTTTTTTTCTTCGACTCCTCCAAACTTCTTGCAAGGACATGTGTTTTAGATGGTCGTTTGGCAATGGCTCTTGCAAGAAGTCGCAAGCAGCCCAAACATGCTAAACGGGGCCTATGAGTTGGCTGCCCAGGTGGTTCGTACAGTCTCCTGGGTTCGTAGTCCCTCAAAGTTGAGGATTTTCCTTCTTCTAGGATTGTCATGGGAGGTTGGAGGACCTGAAACAAAATGACAATTTAAAATAATCCGTCTAATCTAATTCATGTGATTTACAAGAAAAAGACAAAGTCAAGAGAAAAGGAGGATGGTACACTGTTTAGCTTTAGCTGAGTGGATGAATAAGGAGACGCTGGTCAAGCTTAGTTCAGAGTAAAAACTCCATACTCCTTCCATTCTAAAAAAATATATAATTTCCGTTGTTAGAAGTTAAGCAACTTTAAATTGGATTAAATGCATACAAAATGGTACTGACATTTATAATATCAAATAAGTATCATTAAATTAATCATAAGAATATATTTGCATAGTAAATCTATTTATGAAGACACAAATGCTGATATTATTTTTTATAAATTTAGTTAAATTTGCGAAAATTTGATTTGGTTCAAATCTAGGGTTTTTTTTTGAACGGTTTCTCAAAAGCTAAGTTAATTTTATTATAAGAAAAAAGAAAATAAAAGAAAGGGAGGTGCTATTTCTCACATACCTGATTTTAAAGTTTTTTTTAGACGACGAATAGTAGCCATTAGATCTAATATCCAACCATCCAGAAAACCAGCGCTATACATCTACTTATCTTCTTCTATATCTTTCTCTCAATCCTTCATTTCAGGCATCTTGTGAAAAGAAACCAACTGGAATTGTCTTGCCTATAAACCCATGGCCATGTCTCAGTTGTAAAATAAACTTCGAAAGGCTCCAGTAAACCTCTACTCCCATCTTCTTGCCTCCTCCCATCTGTTGCCCAAGTCACCTGGCCCTACTAGGCGCCATGGTTGCCCGCGGCCGCAACACCGCCGTGCCGATTCGCACCACCGTGACGTTAAGCAGCTACCTGTGGTGACCACGGTGACCACGCTTGGCGTCGTGCGCCGATGGTCAGACATCACCATGTGGCGCCAAAGGCAGAACCTTCACTCCGCCGCCGGTCTCACGGTCGGCTTCAAGCGTCTTGATGGACGCCGCCCTTCCGCAAGCTCCCGGCGGCGCGCCGAAGCTGCGGCGGGACGCCGCAGCTGCGACTGGTCTTTGGTAACCACGCCCTCATCTACCAGATCGCCCGGGTTGGCGACGTGGTGCCAAGATCCTGCGCCGATTCTTGGCAGACGCCCATCACGTTCGCGGTCTCGGCGTGGCGTCCGATCGTCGGTAGTCTGCGCAAGACACCATGGGCCGGAACTTGGATCCACGCCGGAGCTCAAAGCGCGGGCGGCATGGGCAACGCGTCCATGGCGGAGATGGCGGACAAAGCTCTTCGGGATCCGCGGCGGTGTGGAAAGTCGAGGCGATTGGCACCAAAGACGTGGGGGCGGGCGAAGTCATCAAAAGGGGCGGTGCGCTATGCTTGCGTGGACGCCTTCCTCTCGCGCTGCCTCGGTGAGCACATCCGCCGTGACATGGTGAGCGACGATGAGTACGAGTCTGACCCCGACGACGACATCGATTCTATGGACGCTGAGGAGTCGGAGCCAGATGCCGTCGATGGCGGTTACTGGGGTTGATGGCGATGGACGCACCGATTCCCTCAGGATTCATTGCAAGAGGGATGGAACACGAGGACAGGAGGGCTCTACATCAGTATGATATACGTGCATTTTGATCTATAAATCTAGCCTTTTTCTCTTTTAGCTGTTTCATTAGCAGTAGTAGATTGTAGTGTTGCATCAAGATGATCTTTTTACCATTTTTATTATGGGGAACCAAGTGGTTTAAGGATAAGAAAGGAAGTTGTTCTTGGGGTTTTTTATTAGTTGTAATAGTTCAGAATGGAAGGAACTGTGAGAGTGATCTGAGGATGTGACGAACTTCTCTCATGTCAGTTCGCCTGCATGATGACATGTTTCAAGAACAATCGATGCTGCTACCATCTTATCATCAGCATTTTCCTTTTTTGGATCGGAAATGAGCCGAATGTTGCGATGCTTTTGTTCTGTTATTTTCCTTTCGTCTAGATGAACTTCGTTCGTTTCCTTTGCGGTTCTTCCACCAAAATTGTATTTTTTTTTTGCGAATTTCAAATATTGTAGCTTGTAATATATGGCTCATGTTTTTCATTGGTGATTTGGTATATTGATGTTGGATTCTGTCTAATGGTTCGTGTATTCTTTGCAATTCTTGGTATATATCGATGGTGGAATCTGACTAGGGAAAGCCAGCTCCTTTTGGTTCCTTCTCAATTCTTCCATTGTGAGAAATCCTTGAGGCTGCAAGGCACCGATCATGAGAACATATCTGTTTCTTTTAACACAAAATAGAGCCTCATAGAGAAAAATATGGATCAAGTAGGAGTATGATCTCTCCCAAGACATTTTTTAAAAGGAGAGAGCTCAATTATACTATAGGCTGAGAAAATCTTTTTTTAAATGAATCAAACAGGAGAGCCGCCAATTATATTGATTAAGTAGAAATCTCATACTGGAAAATACAAAAAAAAACAATTGTAACAACTACAAACGACTGACTCCTCATTGAGCTTTCCATCATATCCAACTATACCCAAATCTTTTAACACACCACATTGTGCAAGGCGAACACTTCGACAAAGTGATGATCTATCATAGGACTTACATCGACGTCTTGTTCTTGTGCTCAATGGTGAAGGGGGATGCATAGGAGGACATGCAAGGTCCTCGTCCTTCCTAGGTGTGGCGATCGGAGGAGATGTTGCCTCTACTGGTGGATCTTCATCTATCACTAGGGGCTCTTCCATGTTGACTACAATCACAGGATAGGTGGCGCAATCTTCAATGGTTATGAGAAAGGTGGGATCCTTAATTGTCACTTGTGTATCTGAGATCTTCTCATCATCAGATGCATCCTCAACCAAAACAACAACGTCAACAGTGGTGACAATCTGTAGTAACGTCTGATCTGTCATCTGAACCGAAGAAGTCCCTAAGGTCCCCTCGATAGCCTGCTCCATGGGTATCTTTTGGTGAAGCTCTGTGCCAAATGCCTTCGAGTCCCCCTCTGTGGTCAACTTGTTAAGGACGGAGTCAACAGTTTCACCACACGTGTCGTTATGCGGCAAGCAATTCGGAGGCGTACAAGCCGCTGCAAGTGAAGCGAGGATCGATGACGTCAGAGAGTGTTGAACCGGAGAACATGGGCCAAAGAGCTCAGTCACATTAGGTACAGAAGAATGTTGTACACGTGGCTGACCACTCTCCAAATGGTTGGCTATACGTGCTAGCCACAACTTGATAGTAGAAGCCTCCTCCCTAAGAGGGCACATAACTTCCTCCAAACGAACTTCTATCAAGTGTTTGAGGTTTGATCGCAAAGACTCCACTAGAGGCATAAGCAAGGATTGGAGGCTCAAAGGCGTGGAAGCAGTAGAGGCACAACAACAGTTGCAACAAACATGATTGGCGTCCTTAACTTGTGAACCAATAGGTTGCGAGGCTGGCGACGAGTTATGATGTCCTTGCGTCGGAGATGTAGATGAAACATCACGCCCTCCTTGAAAGGATCAAGATGCTCAAGAGGAGGGGGTGAATTGGGCTAATTCTAAATTTTTGCAATACTTAAGTCCTACACTTAGCCCATTTCACCCCTTGTGCCTAAAATATGTTTCTATTGCTTTTTCGCACAAAAGTTTTGCACCCTAGGTTCCAATCCTACTCTAGCATGGCAATTCTAGGAATGTAAAGACATGAAATGAATTGCTCAAATGTAAATGCTCAAAATAAAGAGAGAGAAAGGAACATGGCAATGTTTTCTCGAGGTATCGGAGAGTCGTCACTCCCCACTAGTCCTCGTTGGAGCACCCACGCAAGGGTGTAGCTCCCCCTTGATCGGTGCAAGGATCAAGTGCTCTTTATGGGCTGATTCTTTGACACTCCGTCGTGGTGAATCATCCACAACCGCTCACAACTTGACTTGGATCATCCACAAGCTCCGCCGGATGATCACCAAGCTCCCAATCACCACCAAACTATCTAGGTGATGGCGATCACTAAGAGTAACAAGCACAAACTCTCACTTGACCAAGACAAGCCTAATGAAAAAGGTGGATGCACACTTGCTACTCCCTATGCACTAATGAGGTCCTTAATCTTGGATTATCAAATCTCAATCACCCCACTAGGCTCTTGCTCTCCATTGCACTCCAAAGGTGTTTCTCAGCTGAACAAATGGGCAAGAGACCTCCCATGAATGAGTGGAGTAAGTATTTATACCCCCTCATTCAAAATATAACGTTTGGAGGCTGAGTCATCACTCTGCGGGCTGACCGGACCCTCCGGTTAGGGTGATCGGATGCTCCGGTCAGTTATACCCGCCACTGTGTAGAGAGAGCCATTAAGCTCTGACCAGACTCTGACTAGCGTCCAGTCAGCACCCACCGGACACGTCTGATCAAGAAAAAGCCTCTCTAGAACCTCTCTAGAGTGGACCAGACGCAGGCACCTCAGCGTCTGGTGCTCCTCCACTCAGCATTCGGTCAGTATCAGACGACTGTAGTTGATTGACCGAACTCTTACCAGCGTCCAGTCAGCACACACCGGACGCGTCCAGTCAAGAAAAAGCCTCTCTAGAACCTTTCTGGAGTGGACCGGACGTAGGCACCCCAGCGTTCGGTGCTCCTCTACTCAGCGTCCGGTCAGTACCAGACGACTACAATTGATCAAATAAACTGACCGGACTCACCCTCCAGCGTCCGGTCACAACCAGACCAGCATCCGGTCAGTCATTTGACCCTTCATTCACTTCCAACTCGAAATCCTATGTGAATAAAGTTGACTCCAATTGATCTTAGGACTATTCCTGAGCTACCTAGTGCTCGGTTTGACAAGTGTGCACCACACCTAACCCACTAGACTTACCTAGGTCAAGCTACTAGTCCATACCCCCCCTTAATAGTACAGCCAAAGAAAAACAAAGACCTAAACTACTCTAAGTGTCTCTCCAACACCAAACGACACTTAGAACTAGTCCGTCCTTTACCTTGTCGTCCATCCTTTGAAAACCAAAATGATTTCCATCGATAGGGGCATGACAACCATGATTGCCCGATCAATTTCCATTACCATAACCTAACTCAAATTGCCTCTACAAAACACACGTTAGTCATAGTAATCTCGTGTTGTCATTAATCACCGAAACCCAACTAGAGGTCTAGATGCTTTCACTCCTAAAGGAGGCATGGCCATAACTTCTGGCCAACTCCAGCCATGCTTAGAATGGCGAGGTTGAGCTATAGGAGAATAAAAACTTAGAGTAGTAGAGGGAGACCAGAAGCGGCATTGTCGCTCCCTGTAACTAGGACAACGGCAACGAATGGAGCGAAAGTAATCCCGACAGGAGCTAACTTGATGGTTGTGGGCAAGACAACGATAGCATTTGCCTCAAGCCCATGTTTTGAAGGCAAGACTCCGTTGCACTTGAGTCTTTGGTGGTGACGCTGGATGCACACCCTCCGCTCCGGCCCCCACACGAGGAGAGCCCAACGGAGACGACGATGGCATGACAATGCTTTCTCACATTCCAGCTACGTGCCTGGCTGAATGTTGGGGTGGACGTCGATGGAGACTGGCTTAAGGGCGGTGACGTAGAGGGCGCAAGATGGCAATGGTGGCTCAGAGGCAGATTCGGCACCAGTGCCCTAGTGTCCCCAATCCCAGATCGAGTGGCTCAGCAGCACTAGCCACTAGCTCGTGCGTGTAGCAATGTGCCGAAGCTTGTTGAGGCAGCGCTTGTGCAGATTGGGAGGGGACCAGGCGGTGGCGCCGGCGTCGAGGAACCTCGACATCCACGTGGATGGTGGAGAGCCCCCTTGGCCCTTGGGACGATGGTGGAGGTGCGGGCGTCGGGATCCCCTTGGAGCAGCGACGAATGGCAGAACGCAGGCGTGGTGTGAGCCCCCTCGAGACAGCGACGACGTGGGCGTCGGAGATCCCCTCGGGGCAGCTACTGCTGGCGGCGCGAGCGTACCTCGCTTTTATCAACGAGAGGCTATGGTGACCTAACCACCGAGCCACAAGCTTGTTGGGGATTAGCATTTTAGGAATTTAACTCGATTTTTGTTTGTAACAACAGAAATAAGATTGCTGGATTCTTTTTTTCGTTTTCAAAGTATCAGTGAACAAAAGATAAAATGGTAATGCTAGGAGCTAGCCATCCGTTCTGTCGATGGTGACCCAGTGGCTCTGCCTCTACACAAAAATATGGATTCACCTGGTCTGCCTTTGTATCCTCATCCTTATTCAAAGAGGCATTTACATGTGTGCCATTATAAAAGTTTGTAATTAGCCATAAGCCATTAAAAAGTTTGAGCGATCATAAGTGTCACTAGTCGAAACTTTTTTACCCTCGATGCCATTCCCGTCATATTCTGTTAGTTTTTAACGGTTTGACCCTCCTAACACGTGGGTTCGGCTAGTTAAAATATCCAGAATGCCCCTGTCGTGATAGACCGGGCAGTCGGGGTTGAGTTGCCCATTTGGCAGTCCCTTCCCTCGAGGCCTCGTCAGTCACCCACCCACCTCCCATGTTGCAGCGT